ATATTCAATGTAATTTTATTCTATTTTAATCGATCACTATTAAATTGATCATTAATAAATAAACTCTGTTCAATTCTACTTCAATTCTACTTATTTACTAATAAATCCATTNTCAATTCTACTTCAATTCTACTTATTTACTAATAAATCCATTTTCTCTACGCGGGCCCGCATTACAGTTTCTAGAATCGGATGCACTGTCTGTGTTTTATAATAATAGTTTTATACAATAATGGTAACGTGACACCATCACAATTGCAATTGTTTATTTAACTATAATAATAATTATATTTTTGAAACTCTCGTAATATCTTCTACTGAATAATAGTAGCTCTAAGTTAATCATAAAAAATGAAAAGTTAATTTTTTTTTTAGATTACTGTTTTAAGTAGGTTCAGACACCGGGAGCACATATTATCATCATACGTTCTCAAATTTTCAATAATTCATTGTTATAAACATGAAAAAAAAATATAATCTCTACAATAAAATTAATTTTTAACGACCAATTACTTAGAAACTCAACAGCATTAAGTTATTTACAGATTACAAAGTGTTTTTGTACAAATACTAGTTATGACGATGGTAAATTTTTCGCTTCTCTGTTTAACTATGCTATAAATATAAAATAATGAGTAATAATATTAAAATCAACTGTAATAAATTAATAAATTATGAAACAGCTTAACACATAATATTTTCAATGAAAATTAAACTTTTGTACTAAAATTTCTTTGTATTTCATCAAATTGTCAAATTTCTTACAATAAAAATGATTCAAATTATTTTATTAAAATTATTTATAATAATGCATACATGTTATGGAACATCTGGTAATCTTAAAAAGGAGTGAGTATTAATTCGTATTTTTCTATTTTAATATGTAAAAATATTCGATTCAAATGGAATTCAATTTCATGATAATATCATGAAATTTGTACTAATTCTGTTGGCTACAATTTTTTTAAAAATTACAGTGAAATTTTCATCAGCAATATTGAAAACAATTATTTCTTATTTTAATAAAAAAACTAGCGTATTGCAGTCGCGACACAATATAGACGTGTCATATTTGGGTCAAGATGATGACTGACAGTGTTTAAATCATCATCGTAAGAAAATGACCATTTTTTACAGTATCATTAAATTACTACAATTAAAGAATTTTTTCCATATTTGGTGATTAAAGTTCAATATGATTAAAATGGTGTTCTTTTGACGTAATTTTGTCAAAATATTGTAGTGAATAAAAAAAGAAAAGAATATTATTTGTTGTAATTTAAAAAGGGGTTATTACTTGTATTAATTTAGGGAGTACTTTGAAAGTTACTTAAGAGAAATAAATTAAATAGAATATGGCGGGATTTAGGTGCTTATTTGATCCACTAGTTTATTGTGTTAATAATATTATTGCTTATGGTATGAGTACGAGGGTTTGTAAGAAAGATAGAAGATGAAAGAAAAATAAAGTGATCTTTATTTTATTAATATGGGATTTATTATAATTAATTGTCAATTTTTTAAATTTCAATAATGCCACGAGTTTTGACGGTTATCGATGATAGGTGGGATTGATTCACCTCGTGTGTCTACCCAGAGTAGTATGGTGGCTATACATATGAACCTCTAACCTAACTCCTGAAATAGACACGTATCAACGATATAACTCTGCCAAGTAAGTCTGTACAAACATTATCTATTTAATAAATTTACTTGGTATATTTATTATTATTGATGATCACTTGATTTTTCTGTATACCTACTTGATCTATGTACTCATAAAATTTAATTCTAAACCTTATTTATTTTTGGTGAATTTATTAGATTCCTACATTGATATTATCCGTGACACTCTTAAATAAATAGATATTGTATTTTTTGTACAAATATAATTGTAATGAGGGTGGATCACTTCTTGCAAACATTTCAATATGTAGAATGATCGAGCGTAGTGAGTGCCTCTATAAATGTCTGACTGCATCTGTTTTTTATTGCTCTTTATTTTTTACTTTTTACATTAAATTTGATCGTGGTTCAATGGCAAGAAGTGATCACCGACGCCACTATTATTTCATTATTAATCGTAATTTATTACATTTTCTACAATAATGATCTATATATTATAAAATACTATTATATAAGATATGATATCTTATATAATAATTTAGACGTTTTTGTGTTCTTTATTATTTTATTATTTATTATTAATAAACACATTATTTAATTATTAACATTTTTTTATTAAGGCATGATACACACGTTAGAACACTCGAACATGACATATTTTTTACTTATCAACAATTACAAGTAATACAACGTATCATTCAATTAGTAGTGATACCAACATAAAACATCACAGACATAGTTTATTACCCTTCATCTTATGTGTATACCATTACATATTGATTATTGTTTCTTGTTTGTTTTTTACAATTAATATATGCTTTTTCTACAAAATTTCATTAACTTATTTAAACATTTAAAAGGTACATATATATATATATATTATTTTTATTGATATAATTTCATTTTGTGTGATTGATTGATTGAAGTCTTAAATAATTCATTATGACATTAATGATGTATTGTTTATATTTTAAATAATTTATTATGACATTAATGATGTACTATGTATATCATTACAATATGGCAAGTGATAGCTGAAAAAAAATGAATGACAATCATAAGAAAAACCATATAGTAAAATATTTTAATTAGAATAAGATATCCTTTCTCACAACGGGTGACTACAGTAGAGGGTACACGATATTCAATGAATGTTTTGATTGAATATTATTTATTACGAATTTTTTTTCCATCTCAAAAGAGAATTAAGAAAAAAATTTCATTTTGATTACGCGAGGTTCGAACTTTGTCTCCGGAGCGTATTAAGCTGTAATATATTCGACGGAGCCACATACTTACAAGAAATTTTAGCTAAAAAGAACAATTTATCTACTTCAAAAATTTAAAGCAGCTTTTCTTAACCTTAATATAATATATGTTTACAAAACGCAATAATTCTAAAAGTTAAATTGAAAAAATTGACTTTTGTAAAAAAGTTGATATTTTGAATCCACCCCTGTGAGTAGGTAAAGTGTCAGATTTTCAAAAAAAAATGTATCAATTAAAAGGGAAATACCTAAGGTTTAAATATAAATAAAACTTAGTATTAATTCGTTCGTTTTTCAATAAGTTATGGTAGTTTTAAGAAAAAAATGTCAAAATTTAGGTAGTATGTCTTCAACTAGATACGATTTGTTATTTCTGTCGTATCCTTGAGAAAAATCTGTCCAGTGATATGTGAAAAAAAGTAGTTTCAGACATAAAAAAAAATAAATAAATAAACGATAAGACTGTAAAATATACGACGCAGCTTCATTGCACTCCATTTAACAGTAAATAAAATAAACTATTAAGTTAAATCAAAAATTCAAAGTCGCTTTACTTAACTTTGCTATTTTGGATCCCTCCTTTTAAGCAAGTAATGAGTTAAATTTTGAAAAAAATTTAAAATAATATCAAAAAAAGGAAAATTCTTAAGGTTTAAATTTTTTTTTTTTTTTTTTTTCATTAGAAATATACAATCTGTACAATGAGCACAATAAGCATATATGATAAGAGTAGAAAAATTTACATGAATACATTTTGATGGAAGAAACCACTCATTAGTGACACTTCCCATGATTTTTTTAATTTTTTATTTTCTTAGAATTTTTATTTTATATTTCCAGTGACTTAATATTAATATTAATTGATATTAGTAGAAAGAAGATCACGGCACCACTTACGTTTTAAACGCCTGGGTGGGTCTCCAGGTATGGACAAGGTTGAGAGGTTTTTTATTAGGGGATTAGAGTGGGAGAGTAATTTACTGTGGAATCTTTTATAGTAGGAAATGGCTTTTTCATGTTTTTAAGCTTGTTAAAGCTTGTTTAAGCTTGTTCACTGTTTTTAAGTTGAGATAGTTATGAAGTGTATAATTAGAGATATAAGGAGGTGCATTGATTAGTTTTCTTAAGATAATATTCTGAAAACATTGAATTTTATTGGTATTGGATTTTTTAGCATTGCCCCATAACTGAAGGCCGTAAGTCCATATGGGTTTTAAAAGAGATTTATAAATTAAAAGTTTAACATTAATGTTTGTAAATTTATTGTTTGTGATTAATGATTTGAGTAACCGCAGACGGCTATTTAAAGACAAGCGTTTTGATTTGTTAATTTTTGAAAAATTTATTTCAAATGAAATAGAAATACGTAAGTTGATTTAATCAAATTATTTTAGTACGTTAATTTTTCAAAAAGTTATAGCAATTTTTAGAAAAAAAAAGTGAAAAAAATATCAAAATTTACTGATTTAAAAAATTGTAATTTGTTGAGGAATTTCCATAATTTATGGAAAAGGGGGTAAAATATTCAATTTATGATAGTAATATTTTCAACTAGATAAGATTTGTGATCTATGATTTTGTGATTTGCGACGTATCGTTGAATAGAATAGGTCCAGTGAGATCTGAGAAAAAGTTGAATAGACACCAAAAAAAATAAATAAATAAACACGTCATAGTANATAGACACTAAAAAAAATAAATAAATAAACACGTCATAGTAAAATTAATACTTTCTCAGGATTGCATCAAAATTAGAAATTGTTGCCAAGACTTAAAAATACAATTTTTTTTTACAGCTTAGATAAAGCATGGGCTGAATTTGATAAACAATTAAAATGTGATCACTTACAGTATATTGGTTACAATGAAGGAATGGAAGATGATATGGACATGCATTCTAAAATAAAAAGACAATATTTATCTTCAATAAATAATATTAGAAATTGGCATGGTGTAGAACCTCTTAAACAAAATAATGAAGTAAATAATTTTTAAATAAATAGTAATAAGTAAAAAGTTATTAGCTATTGGAAACTTATCATAGTATCTTATTTTAATTTAGTGTCAATCGAAAAGTTATTGTTATTGATAGCATAATATAACCTAAGAATAAAATAGCATAAGAATTATGGAGAATCATTATATCATGTTCATTTATCATATAACCCTACATTTCGAAGGGGCATAAGTCTTTGCAGAGCCTAAAAAAATACGTGATGCTTTCTGCACGTAGGCTATTACATTCCCATTAGTCGGTTATCACTTTGTTCATACCTTATACCAACGGCACAATTTGGGGGTGCCAACACGTACATTTGAAAACTGAAGTTGATCAATTCGCATTCTTGCTGATCGGGTAATACCATAAGTGAACCCCTTCTTCAATAAAATCCAATTTATCTAAGAAATGTAGTGAAAACAAATTTTTATTCAATTTATTTAATATAGCCTATTTAGATATTTAAAATATAAAATAAGCTTCCTTTCAAAAACCTCTCTCTTTGTCACAGAAATCAGATTTTTTAGTAAAAAAATATCTTATTAATATTCAGTAGTAAATATTCTGTAGCGTTTTGAAGTTTGTGAAAATTTGAATTTTCATGTATTATTTTACGGTATTAAACAATGAAATACGTATTGAGAAAAGGACAGAAGAAAACGCTATCTTTTCATGATTATTGTATATACATATGATGATAATGTGTATACATTACAAACTTGGCATTAATACCATGATAAGAAATTAGATAAGGCAATTATTACTTATCACTCTCATTCAAAAGAATATTGAAAAGATAGCGTTTTCTTCNTTTTAGCTTATGGAAATTTACCATAGTATCTTATTTTAATTTAGTGTCAATCGAACAGTTATTGGTGTTGATAGCATAATATATCCTAAAAATAAGATAGCATAAGAATTATGGAGAATCATTACATCAAGTTCATTTATCATATAACCCTACATTTCGAAGGGGCATAAGTCTTTGCAGAGCCTACAAAAATACGTGATGCTTTCTGCACGTAGGCTATTACATTCCCATTAGTCGGTTATCACTTTGTTCATACCTTATACCAACGGCACAATTTGGGGGTGCCAACACGTACATTTGAAAACTGAAGTTGATCAATTCGCATTCTTGCTGATCGGGTAATACCATAAGTGAACCCCTTCTTCAATAAAATCCAATTTATCTAAGAAATGTAGTGAAAACAAATTTTTATTCAATTTATTTAATATTGCCTATTTAGATATTTAAAATATAAAATAAGCTTCCTTTCAAAAACCTCTCTCTTTGTCACAGAAATCAGATTTTTTAGTAAAAAAATATCTTATTAATATTCAGTAGTAAATATTCTGTAGCGTTTTGAAGTTTGTGAAAATTTGAATTTTCATGTATTATTTTACGGTATTAAANCCCTGTACATATAGACAAATTTTTATGAAAGATGTATATAAAGAGTAATTATCAGGAAAAAATTATATTGATCCATACATTTTTTAAAAAGTTATAGCACTTTAAAGTAAAAAATGTAAATTATAAAATTGAGAATTTTCATATAAAAATAGCATTCGGTAGCCATTTTCACCACGAAGACAAGTCCAGAGGTCAAATTTTTTTTTAAAGTATATTACATTAGCTTTAATTTAAGATATATATAAAAAAAATTGAAAAAATTAGCGATATTTTAATTTGTAATTTTTTTGGAGGTTTCCCTCATTTACGGGGAAATTTTTTCGATTTTTAAGGGTAATGTCTGTGATTATTTGACGTATCGTTGAAAGAAATCCATTCGGTGAGAGCTGAGAAAGCACGGTAATAGACACAAAAAAAAAAAAATTCCTTCTCAGCTTCGCATCGAAGTTAAAAAAAACAATATAATTAATTGGGATCTTGGCCAACTGAAAAAATGATTTATAACGTATGTAAATTGGCAAAATGTGATAATATTACTTAGATAAGACGTCTCTAGGGGTATATAAGGGAGTTTTTTTCTAGTCAAGGTGTCAGTATGTATTTAGCGTTCATAATGGTAATATTGTTTCCGAAATACGTATCCACTTTTTAGTAATTTTTTATGGCTTTTGAGTTAATATTATTAATATTTTTTAGTTTTTAATTTAATAATAGTTTTAATTTTATTTAATTAATAAGCCAAAAGTGATCAATTTTTGTTTTATAAAACAGAAAATGTTAAAATAGAATTAATTGAATAACTTGTCGATAATAATTATTGGACCAGTTTTCCGAAGTTATTAACAATTTAAAGTAATTTCAACAATTACTTAGCAAATTAAGCCCTTCACCTGTTATATCTTTTATACTACACATATTTTTGAACACTTAAATAAAAGACCTGCAAGATTACATTTAAATACTATTATTTATATTACTTGTATATTAACATTATTAATACAATAATATGATTTTTAGTTGGATGTTTTTGCACAGTCATATGCAAATAATTGTACCAGGTTAGAACAGCTTGGTCCATTCCATTCAATTTTCGGAATATTAATCTCATCTCGTTCTGTTCTAAATTTTAATGAATCAGGAAAAAATGTACCTTATGAAACATATAGAGCTGTTGATGATGATGATAAACCTTTTGATTTTGAAGCAAATGAGGATGAAATGATTAAAAGTAAGTAATAATAATAAATTATAACTATCCCGAATAAGAATTTTAGGGGAGTTTTAAAAATATTTTTTTGTATATTTTATAATATTCTGGTAACAACATTTTAATTGTTAACAAGAAATACATACTTGGACCGGTTCATACAGCCAACGCTCAATGATACCCACTACACTAGTAGTGTGTTTATCTGTACTATTTGTCGATCAGCTGTCACACACCACACATGCACATATCCATTCAATTCATTATATTTATTAATATGTTGGTATTGACGTTTATTTTTTGTTGTAAAAACGTTAAGTCAAATTTCAAGTTTACAAAAACTAAAATAGTTTTTCATTTATTGTACAGCTACTAATTAGCTCAATTACTTGTTTCTTTGCTGTAATATTTAATTGCTACATGTTAGCAATAATCGCTCTAGTCAACTTGTGATACCTCATATGGTATTTAATTTTATAATAACCAGTAAATTATTATTTTTATTCAATTAACTAATGGACATTTTTTTCATTAACATTGAGTTTAAGTTTTCTGATAATTATTAAACCACAATTGTCTAATTGTCTATTCTATCGATATTTTTTAAAATTTGTTAATTTTTATTTTAATATAATATTGTTATTTTTGTACAAATAATTATTTGGTTTATTTGGTAATGATTATAATCATTCATATTCTCTTTTATTTTATTTATTAGTATTTATTATCTTTATCAATTATTATTGATCAAATTATGTTAAAGTATTTAAATATTGTATATAACTCTAAGGTTAAAATTTTGAATTAATTGTTATTCACTATGAAGAAGCTCAATTTACTAAGATTTTTATTACTGTTGGATCAGCAGTGTCATAAATTGAATTTTTTTTAGTTTCGATGCGAAGCTGAGAAGGTATTAATTTTACTATGATGCGTTTTTATTTATTTATTTTTTATTGTGTGTCTGTGAACGCTCAATCTCAGCTCTCGCTGGACCGATTTTGATGAACAAAATGTCAAAAGATCACAAATCGTATCTAGTCGAAGACATTACCCTCAAAAATTGAAAAAANAAATCTACCCTCAAAAATTGAAAAAAATTCCCTCGTTTCTCGTAAATGGGGGAAACCTCCAAATAAATTACAAATTTAAAAATCGCTAATTTTCGAAATTTTTTCAATTTATTGTACTTAAAATTGCCATAACTTTTTTAAAAATGACTGAATCAATATAATTTTTTTTTATAGATACCTTAAATATTTACCTATCATTTTATATATTTTTGTGAACATTTGACCCTTTAACGGGCCACAGGAAGGGTTTCAAAATGGTAGCTTTTTTACAAAAAATTAACTTTTTCAACTTAACTTTTGAAAATGTTCCGGAAAGACTGACACTTTTATATATACCTTAAATTAAAGCTAATGTAATATACTTTAATTTGAAAAAAAAAAATTTGACCTCTGGACTTGTCTTCATGGTGAAAATGACTACCGTATGCAAAAATATGCTATTTTTGTGAAAAAATTCTTGATATTATATTTTACATTTTTTAACATTATGTTGCTATAACTTTTTAAAAAATGCATGAATCAACTTTATTCTTTAATGATAAATACTTTATATATACTTCTTTCATTCGACATACTTTTTTTTAAAATCGGACCATTTCCCTTTATACAGGGGGGGTGCAAACCTTTTAAAATGCGTATAGAAAGTAGAACTTTTTCAACTTAACTTTTGAAAATGTTCCGGAAAGGCTGACACTTTTATATATACTATAAATTAAAGCTTATATAATATAATTTATTTTGAAAAATTAATGTAATATACTCCAATTTGAAAAAAGAATTTTGATCTGTGGACTTGTCTTCATGGTGAAAATGACTACCGTATGGTAAAATATGCTATTTTTGTGAAAAAATTCTTGATATTATATTTTACATTTTTTGTCATTATGTTGCTATCACTTTTTAAAAAATGCATGAATCAACTTTATTCTTTAATGATAAATACTTTATNTTTTTAAAAAATGCATGAATCAATTTTATTCTTTAATGATAAATACTTTATATATACTTCTTTCATTCGACATATATTTTTTTTAAATCAGACCATTTCCTTATATACAGGTGGGGTGCAAACCTTTTAAAATGCGTATAGAAAGTAGAATTTTTTCAACTTAACTTTTGAAAATGTTCCGGAAAGACTGATACTTTTATATATTAAAGCTTATGTAATATAATTTATTTAGAAAAATAAAATTTGTCCTCTGAAATTGTCTTCATAGTGAAAACGGACATTAAAGAAAAACGTATGATTTCTGTAAAAAAATTCAGTCGGTACCAACGTACGGTTGACGAGTTGGTAAAACTTGTGAATTTACACGCTTGGGGTACAAGGTTCCAACCCGCGTATGGCAAGAAAGTTTTTTCCATTTTTTCTTAATTCTTTTTAAGATAGAATAAATTTTCAACTACTTTAATTTTTATCTCATTTAGATTCAATAACTTCAATAAAGATCTAGGATCCCATCACTTAAGCCGCCCCTTGCAAGAAGAAATTTCTTAGTCATATTAAAATTATTTTGCTATATTTTAGATTTTAGTTTCGATGCAAAGCTGAGAAGGTATTCTTTTGTGACTATCATTTATTTTCTCTGCTCTAACTTGCCTTATATTTTTCAACGATACGTCAAATGACTACAATTCGTATCTAGTTGAAGATATTACCCACAAAAATTGAAAAAAAATTTCAATTTATCAATTAAACAGTTAGTTATTCCATGCTCTCCATAAAGAGAATTAAAATCATTAATTTCTAATGTTTTCAAAATATTTATTAACGAATTAAGTTTGATATGATAGTTTTCAACTACAAAATTAAATCATTTTACTTTGTAATTCAATAATTTTTTTACTCTATTTGTGTGTGCTACTACTAGACTAAAATATTACAAATTTTTTAGTAACATGTGCTATATAAATCATTTTTAAAAAAAATGACTGTTAGTTTCTCCTGAATTAATAATGGATTTTGATAATTATAATCAATTTTTTTTATTATACGCTCAATTAAGTAAATCTTTTTAACAACTTTGTTTTGATTAGTTTATTTAGTTAAAGCAAATCATTAAAATTAATTAATTTCTGAATATTTCAATCGTAGAATCTTTTTAAACACCAAAAGCTACTAGGTAATATTTACTATTATTTCTATTTCATTTATCTATCACGATAAAAATTCAAATAATATTGATCTACTCTGATAAATTTACTATAAATAGTAATTATAAAACTTCCTAACTGCATATTTATGTTAACGATACCATTATAAACTTTCACAAAAATCAACTTCAGAGAATTTAAAAAAATAGGTTAAATATGTCATTTTACTAAATACATAAAACAAAAACACTTTTATAACGCTACCGATTGTTCAAACACTGCTTGTATGTTCATGCATGATTATATATACAATTATTATTAATTATTATATCAATTATAATCAATTTTTTTTATTATACGCTCAATTAAGTAAATCTTTTTAACAACTTTGTTTTGTTTGGTTCATTTAGTTAAAGCAAATTATTAAAATTAATTAATTTCTGAATATTTCAATTGTAGAATCTTTTTAAACACCAAAAGTTACTAGGTACTAATTACTATTATTTCTATTTCAGTTATCTATTACGATAAAAATGCAAAAAAATATTGATCTACTCTGATAAATTTACTATAAATAGTAACTATAAAACTTCCTAACTGCATATTTATGTTAACGATACCATTATAAACTTTCACAAAAATCAACTTCAGAGAATTTAAAAAAATAGGTTAAATATGTCATTTTACTAAATACATAAAACAAAAACACTTTTATAACGCTACCGATTGTTCAAACACTGCTTGTATGTTCATGCATGATTATATATACAATTATTATTAATTATTATATCAATTATAATCAATTTTTTTTATTATACGCTCAATTAAGTAAATCTTTTTAACAACTTTGTTTTGTTTGGTTCATTTAGTTAAAGCAAATTATTAAAATTAATTAATTTCTGAATATTTCAATTGTAGAATCTTTTTAAACACCAAAAGTTACTAGGTACTAATTACTATTATTTCTATTTCAGTTATCTATTACGATAAAAATGCAAAAAAATATTGATCTACTCTGATAAATTTACTATAAATAGTAACTATAAAACTTTCTGACTACATATTAATGTTAAAGATACAATTTTTTTATTTCTCATAAAATTTTCTATTTAATGATGTCAATTTCAACTTGCCAATTGAGCTAAAAGTTATGGTAAAATAAATTATTTTATTTTATTATAGATATTCACTAAACTTTATCAAGAAATTTTCATCAACCCTTATAAATTATTATTGATCAAATTACGTTAAAGTATTTAAATATTTTATATATCTCCAAGGTTAAAATTTTGAATTACTTATTATTCAAAAAGCTTAATTTATTAATATTTTTATTACTGTTGGACCAGCAATGTCATTAATTGAATTTTTTTTTTCTGTAAACCGTAATGATATTTTTCGAATAAGCTGACAAATATCAATTAATATTTATTTGATTCAGTTATATTTATTGGATTAATTTAAAGGCCCTAAATACATAAAACAAAAACACTTTTACAACGCTGCCGATCGTTCAAACACTGCTTGTGTGTTCATGCGTACCCGTATATACTGTGAGAAACAACTTTACTGTTCGTACACGATAAATGTATTATAACTATTTTACTATTTAAAAATTTGCATTCAAACATATGTTAAACTAAGGCTACCTAACATAGTACTAAAAGTTTAAAACAAAAACCCAGCACAGCGGGTCGCGACACAGTGGAGAAGAGGCATAGTTAGGTCTAGTATAGATTTGTGAAAAAGTTGTCATTTTAAATCCCTCCCTGTGGGCAGAAAAAGGGTCAAATTTACAAAAAAAATAAACCAAATGATAGGAAAAGACATCATGCATCTATAAAAAAAAACTATATTGATCCATACATCTTTCAAAAAGTTATAGCATTATAAACTTAAATATATAAAAAAGAATTTTTTTACAAAAATCGTATTTTTTTTATTAACTTTAATGTCTGTTTTCACCATAAAGATAAAATAAAGTCCGAAATTTTTTTTTACTATAATAAAGTATATTACATAAGCTTTAATTTAAAATATATATATAAGTGTCAGACCTTCCGAAACACTTTCAAAATTTAAGTTGAAAAAGTTTTTTTTTCTATATGCATTTTTTATATTTAACCCCCCC